CCAAATTCTTAGTTTGCGAACTTTTCGCTATATTACTGTTGCTTTACTTTATTGCTGTTAATTTGTGTTGCATATATTATTTGCTTGCTTTATATTATTTTGGGGGCTTTGTTCTTTTCTTTTTATTGCTTATTGAAAACTTTGTCAATTCTGCTTGTCAGACACTTCTGTTACTTATTTTGCATTTAACCATGACTACTCACTCCACAGATAATGATATCACAGGCTGCATAAACAGTCGATATTAAAATAAATTTCAATGTATTATTATAGTAAAATCTTCTACAGTACTTTTCAATAGTAAAATAATTTCCAGTGAATTTCTCTACCTTGGTATATAACTGTATATGTAATTATTCAAGTGAATGAAAGTTTGGATGGATTTGTTTAATAAATCCTGTCAGTGATAAAATAGGTTACATAAATGACTAGTAGATAATTTGCAATGCATTCCTATAGTAAAATTGTTGTAATGTACAGCAAGGGCATGTTGAGACTGGTGGAAGGAGGCTGGGTTTATTGTCCAGTGCCTGACGTAAAAGTAAGTGCTGAAGAGGCTTGGGCAGTTTTTCCCCAATGTGGCTATTAAACCAACTTTAAACTACCCTTGAGTTACATTCAGTAATGACATGGATGAACTGATACCCATTCCCCAGCCAAAATGACTAGGATCAAAGTGTAGTATTTGTTACAGCAGCAGCAACAGCCAGCCCACAGCTCCAGCCATCAGCAGCAGTTCCAGCCAACCATCAGCAGCAGTTCCAGCCAGCCATCATCATCAACCACAGCTATAGTTCACCACTGTTCCAGCCAGCCAGCCAGCCAGCCAGCCAGCCAGCCATCTTCAACAGGGCTCCAGCTCCAGCCGCAATAATATGTGATAAGTTGTCCTTTTAAAGACAACACTCTTCAATGACTACAAAACTGTCCTTTTCAGGAGAACAATTCTCAATAGCTACAAAACTGTCCTTTTCAAGGCAAAACTGTCCTTCTTAGGACAATGCTCTTCTCACCCACTACATGAACATGCAGTGATATTTTTTGCCTAGGGCACTGTAACTTTCTTTTTTTCAATGTACTTTCTCTAACAATAATAAACTTGACAATATATTTTTTACTCAGGTCTTCATTTTGTTTATTCTTGTCTTTCATGTTCCATCATTCAATATCTGTTTGTGGGCCACTATACCACCCACAACAAAGGTTATATCAATCAATATATATATATATATATATATATATATAGAGAGAGAGAGAGAGAGAGAGAGAAAGAGAGAGAGAGAGAGAGAGAGAGTGTGAGTGAGTGAGTGAGATCTGTGCATGTACTGTGTATTTACTCTTCAAAAAGCAAGTTCTGGAAACTTTTGCACACACCTAATATCAAACAAATTTGTTTATATTCATTTAGTTTCGTACCCTGCCCCCCCCCACAAAAAAAATTGTACTTACCTTTTACATCCATACATCGCAGATAAGACATGTTCTGGTAAAATGTCATCCTCTTTCTTTGTAGTTTTTTCACAAAAAACCTTAAATCTTCTGCCAAATGTCACCAATGCTGACTTAAGCATCATGGCAGTCTGGAAATCTCTTGGACTGTGAGAAATGAAGATATCATGACTTGGTTTCAGCATCTAGAAACAAAATAAAACCGAAAAAGACATAAAAAATATTGGTAACAGAGTTGAAGGAATGCTGCATGTAATCTCTGGTTTTAAAATGCAATGTCCAAAGGTCAACCCAGACTTTGATTTGTGGAATACAAAAACAAAGTGTTGAAGACATTTTTTTCAAGATTATAAATTCAGAATTAATTTTGTTTTTTCTCTGTCAAGAATAGGAGATAAACTCTGAAAAACTGCAGCTGGTAGATGACAACGAGTACAGTTATATGAATGCAAAAGGCGATTATCTCCCTTTGGTTAAGATGAATTTACAAGGCTGGTGATTAACATCAATTCGTATGATGATGAACCCCATTTAAGATGAAGACCGCTAGAAAGATAGGCATCATAATTCTGCAGTGGTAGAGCAAACAGATGAAACCATGGTCCCACCAAAAAACATAGAGTACACTACTGACTGACCTGGTTTCCCTTTGGGAAATATTACAAGTAAAACCCTCTTGATCTCCTTCGATTCAAATTGCTTGTTGTATTTATATATGTTATAGTTTCTTTGTGTAGGACTATTATTGATAGGTGTTAGACATTTTCATGACGGTCGTCTTCGAGTATAGAATCCAGAGGTTGGCAGTGAATATTTCGGAGACAGTAGGAAAGCGTAGTGCAGGTTCGCAGTAGATATCGCAGCAAGGTAGCAGAGCGTAGTTCTTCCGTCTGTCCTGTTCGCCGGACAAGTTGCCTCTGGTCATTCCAGTAAGAAAACAAAGATGGCCACCTTTATACACGACAGATACAGTGTTGCGAGGCTTCTGATTGGTCAACCTTCTATTGGTCGACTATAAAGGGAAATAAGTCATTTTGACTCGCTCACTAGTTATATACAGCATATACCCAAAAAACTGTAACAATAGGTAGATACATAATTGCATATAATATCTTGTATAACTGCAGTATATAAAGTTTCTTTGAAAACAATGAATGTTTGTCATTCCTTTCTTTCAGGTATATATCACAGATTACAATATATATGTTCCAAAGGTTATCATAGCCAAGGGTAATAGTGGAGATACACTCCCACTGTCTATAAAATGTTTTCATGGCTTGCATCTGAAATAGTCTCTGACAACTAAGTCAAACTCCAAGACAGAGAATGAACAGCTGGCACCTCATAACCGGCTGATTCAGGTAGATGAAGCTCAACAGCCCAGGAAGGGGGTTAATCTAGGGGAAGCAAAACCTTGATTTTAAACCTCCACTTCTTTGCAGTCATAACCAAACATGAAAAAGGCTATGGAAGTAAATCCAGACAAAACCTGGGGTGAACTAGAAAGCAGTAGGCTGTCAACACTGAGAACTTTCTGGCAAATCCTACAACCAAAATAGCCCCAAATGTAATGTCCTGTATTCATTTGGATTTTATTGGTACAGTTGAGAGTGGGGTGCATGTAGTCTTGGTAGCACATGGCCTCCATTACCCAAGCCTGGGATGCCTACTTACATCATGGATATACTAATGCTTATAATGGAGTAACTAGAAATATTCCTTCTTTCCAGTCAAACTCATTACAGTCAGAAGAAAAATAATGTCAGATTATAAATAAAAATCCATTAATTTCTTTGTAATTATATTTACCAGTTTTTTTTTTTTTTTACACTTACTCACTGTTTTAGTTCAATATTAATGCATAATTGCATTTTTATCATGAATGGAATAGGAGAGAAAGTAATAATAGTATGGAAATTTCAGTAGTCAATGCTAGTACGAATTGGTTAAATTTATTTTGAGAAATATGTAACTGAGTAGATATTATAATTATTTATTTATTTTTTATTAGGCCATTGAATTATTTTAGTTGATAAATGACAAAACTGGGAAGGAAATTTAAATAAATTAGTATGAGTTAATTTTGTATTGAAAATTAAAGTAAATGGGGATAGAATTTAAGTGTGTGTGTGTCATTATATGTGTGTGTGCGTATATTTACATTTATGGATAGATGTGTGCACGTACATGCATGTGGGGTTTTTTTGTGTGTATGATTTTATTTGAATAAGAATATAAGGTAAATGTAGACTTAAAGATTTATCTGATAGAATAACGAATTTCTTTTTAGAAAGTGCTAGTACAGGATAGATTTGGGTTAGGTATGCATGAAGGTTTAGTCAAAGAGTTAGCATTGCTATGGGATTAGTATTTAAAATGTAAAATATTGGATTAAACTATGCAAAAAAGAGACTGTTATGGATTCCAGAAGTAGTAGATGGAAGCTAAAAAAAAAAAGCAACACTATAAAGGAGAGGAGCATGAAAAGCCATAATGTCGTGGTGCTTAGCACGATGCTTTCAATGAGGCGGCCATCTTGAATCAGGTCAGGGTTGCTGTTAGAGCCGATATGATGCAAAATCCAAAATCGGCGATGAGGACAGTGCATTACTGAAGACCACCCTTGATGCATCTAAAATGTATTATTTAACCTGTTTATACAACACAATCTTCTTTGCAGCAAATCTTTCTCCCATGCTATAATTGTTGCTGGGTTTATTCTGTTAAATATTTACTCATATCTGTAAATATAAAAGCCTTCACATTATTTCTTTCATTGTTTATATCATTAATCTGTTTGACATGTCAAGCCAAGATGGCAGGAGTTGTCATGGGAAAGTAAAGCAACAGATTAAATATACACCTCACACACTTTATGAGACACACTTAACACTTCCTCTACTTCAATCACCATCTATTGTTTTAGCAATGCATACACCATTTATTCTTTTAATCATTTAGCCACAAGCAAGATGATAAAGCCACTAAGATGCAAGTGGTTATGGATGATGAAAGACAGTAGGGTGAAGGAAACTGAGAAAATGTTACTGAGGAGAAAGGACAATAAAAGAGCAGGATTCAAGAAGTCAGAAGATGACGATTGATGTTGCATTTACATTTTTGTAGATTGTAGTTGAAAGAAAAGCAAGAAGCTGGAAAAGTTCCACAGGCAAGAAGTGGGAGGAAAGAAATTGTTAGAACAGAACAATTTCAACTGTAAATTATCATTTGTCTTTTCCCTTAATTATCATTTACCTTTTTCCATCATTATCATTTACCTTTTCCTTCATTATCATTTACTTTTTCCTTCATTATCATTTACCTTTTTCCTTTATTATCATTTATCTTTTTTCCTTTATTATCTTTTTCCTTCATTATCATTTTACCTTTTTCTTCATTATCATTTACCTTTTCCTTCATTATCATTTGTTTTTCCTTCATTATCATTTACCTTTTCCATCATTATCATTTACCTTTTCCTTCATTATCATTTGTTTTTCCTTCATTATCATTTACATTTTCCATCATTATCATTTACCTTTTTCTTCATTATTATTCACCTTTTTCTTTCATTATCATTTACTTTTTTCCTTCATTATCATTTACCTTTTTCTTTCTTTATCATTTGCCAATAAGATTCATTTTAGTTTTATCCTTTTTCAATCTCTTTTTCTCTTTATATACAATGAATGATTGTACAAATAATGATAATAATAATAATAATATTAGTAAATATATTAAAAGTGAATTAATATACCTTTTTATTGATTGACATCATTAATGAGAAAGGTGTGTTTGATTAGCAATAGCCGTGGACATTGAGATTTAGTTAAAAATAAGTTAGTTTTAGCCATGTCACAGTAGAGTAACAGATTGTGGCTCGGATTGAGGAATCAGAGATCCAAGTTTGAATTTTAGTTGAGTTCATTAGATTCACTTACATACTAATATCTTTGGAAAAGGTATGAATCCAACTCGGCTCCCCCACTCCTCCACTCTGGGTAAAATAGTAGGACAGACTGGGTTCTATAGCCTTGGTTGGCAACTGGTCTAAGAGAAAGAAAACTCTGATTTCAAACTGGATGTAGCCCATGTGAAGCACATATTATGAAGCTAAGAAAAGGATCATTCACATTGACACAACGATGCCAGCTACAGTTGACTCCTTTTTTTAGCCATGTCACAATTCATTTATTGACTCCGTTTTGAGCCCCAGGCATTTATTGATACTCTGGATAGTACCATCAACTTCCAAGAATCCATATCGACCACTTTCAAGACCCCCCACCACAACCTAAACAAACGCCTTTACGCATCTAAAGTAGAAACAAGTTGATAAAGTAACAGGCTTAATTACAGATGGTGTTCAGAAAAAGTGAATCATTTATCCAAAGTTAGCATCTGAGATCCATGATTGAAATGGACTTACCTGGAAAATCCGAGACACTTCCCATTTGGTCTTCAGTTTGGCAAATTCTTTTATACACTCTTCAGTCGTCTCCTTTTTCTTATAAGGATCTTTGTCAAAAAGTACAATCTTTAGACATTTGAGGGGTAAGCCAACTTTCATCCAATGGCAAGCACATTCAACGGTCCTCTTTAAGACGAATAAATCAGGGAAGTGCTAAAAAGAAAAACGCACAAAAAAAAGAAAACTGATAATATTTATATATTGCAAGTATTGTAAAATAATGAAACTGTATTTGAATATTTCACCATTGAGAAGTGGTTAGCAAGTTCATCATGAAAACTACAGTAGTGAGTTCAATTCTCCCTTGGTGCCTAACAATTGCATCATCGAGCCTCACTAATCTAAGCTTAAATATACAGGCAGATTGTATAGCTCATCTAAAAGCAATGGCAAGAAAGTTAATCTTTCTGACTAATACCGCAGTGATATATGTCTATATTTCTAAGATTAGGTATTATGTACACTATTTACATTGCTTGGACTATGATATGGGGAGAAAAGGGAAATCACCACCCTCTGTAGGATCAGGTTGAGATCATAGACAAAGAACATCATTGGAAAATTCATAAACTTAAGGAATCAGCACATATGCTAGGCCACAAAAATCTCCTGAGCTGACCAAGCATAGAAATGAATACAATATAGGAACCAGTAATAAGGAGTGCCAGAGAAAATCAATGATAACAACAAAAATTGCTATATGAGCTCTGGTAAAAAACATGAATTGATAACAGCAAAAATTGCAATATGAGTACTGGTAAAAAATGTTGGTGAAAATATTAGGTTTATAATACCCAGAAATTCATACACAGAAGTCCTCAAGGACACATGGCACAGTGGATAAAGGTGTTGGTTAGATCCAGTGAAAGAACCCAAAGAGTGTGAGTTCAATACCTGGTTAAGGAGTGGAGAACTTGGAGAGGGGAATTACCAGGAGATAACTGACATCCATTAGGTGTGGAACTAGAACAGTCTACCCCAGTTAGTGAAATAAAGGGTTAAGTTCGACATTCCAACCACAGCCTGATAGTCTGAACAATGTAAATAGTGTACTGCAATGATCTTAGTGCTCACTGATCATTGGTACAAGGCTATAAGTATTGGACTCCAAATCACATTTATGGAGTTGATATATTTTTTATCAGGTGAGAAAATGGAATATTGGTAAATTGAGTTGAAAGGTTTACCAATTTCCAATGAATTTCCTAATTAATGACTCCTTAGAGAAAGGCATATATATATATATATATATATATATATATATACTGACCACTAATATTATATATATATATATATATATACACACGCACACACTGTTATGGTCCAGTTCCTTGTACCACGGTGATTGTCCAAGGTAGAACCAATAAAGAACTCGAACACGGATATGGCATAACACAGATATATTACAAACAGGAATATATACAGAGAAGTAGAAAGTGTTAGTACAAACAATCAGGTTTAGTAGTAATTGTCTGAATATGACTCTGTTTCGGACTGCCTCTGATTCGACTGACTGACTCGCTCTGACTGACTGACAGACTCTTGACGGACTTCTGACAGACCTCACTCCAGACTTTGGACTGAACTCCCAGCTTCTTCTTGAGGTACAGTATTTATTACATATGGAATAGTCCATTATGTTATTATGGGTAAGGTCTCATAACACAAACACACATACAGAGGGTGCATGGGTAAATTTGTCATCTAAATTACGCAAAAATGAAAATAACACTGCCATCTCATTTGAAGAGATATAATTACCAAAATTACAGGAAAATATCTTGAAATACTAAAAAGTAAATGTATTCAATAAAATCACCATTTGTCTCCAGATGACTTCGGAATCTCCTGCAACTCTTCTGGACGGTCTCCTTGTTTAAGTTGGTGAATGCTGCCATAATCCTTGCCTTCAATTCATCATTGGTGCTACAGGGAGTTTTGTTGATCTCTTGCTCAACTGCACCCCACACATAATAATCAAGGGGGTTGTAGTCTAGGGAGTTAGGTGGCCGGATGTAAAGGGTAATGTGGTTGTAGAAATTGTCTCACAGCCATGACTGGGTTCTCTTGTTGCCAGACATAGGGTCTTCCAGCAGCCACACTCTTGACCCAGGGCAGCACTACCTCCCCAAGGCACTTGATATAGGCCTCTGTGTTGAGTCTGAGGTCCTTGTGGGAAGATGAATGGAGGTATAACATCACCATCAATAGTGATCACTCCAAACACCTTTGTAATCAACATTAGACTCATTCAATACTTTCTGAATCCTCTGACACCTAAACACACTGAAATGTTTGTATTGGAGCTTCTGGTGCAAATGCCAAGCAGTACAGCAGTTCATTTTCAAATTTATGGCAGAGTTAATTGTGTCGTAGTGCGCTTTTTCTCACAAAAGGTGCCCAACTGATCCTATTATACTGTGCAGTTGACAAAATAAAAAAAAAAACATTGCACATCTGCGAAATTAAAAATATAAAATAGTAACAATTTACTCATTGCACCCTGTATGTGTGTATGTGTGTGTGTGTGTGTGTGTGTGTTAGACAAATGAAAAACAAGCACTACATGCTTTTCCTCTTATGATCCTTTCCCCACACACACACACACACATAGACCACCCATAAACCCATTGAGTTTCTTTTAATTTGTATTTGCAGTACAAGTTACTGCAATAATTATTATTACTTACATTATGCAATATTACTTAGATCAAATGCAATGAGAAATTAATAAGAAAAAGTTTTCTTTTTTTGAGAATGGAATTGCAAACTGATATCACACTAAAGGTCTTTCCATTCAAGTAATAGTAGCCCCGGGGTGACAATTTATACCAATTTTAGTATTTACCATAATATAATTTTCAAAGGTGAAAATCATTCAAAAAATAAAAACAAACAGCAATCGTCTGCTTAGGGAAATTCATATTTTTTGAAGTAACATGAAGTATGGATGCCTCCTTTTTGTACACTTAGTTTCATTGTATGAAAGAGAAATGAGAGCTTATCAAATAGAATAAGATCTTCTTTTTTACAAAAAATATTCAAGCTACTTGTAATATGACCTTATTATATTTTATAGAGAGAAAATTGTAGACTATCAAATAGACACTTTCTTTTTTATAAGAAAGAGTCAAGAAAATTGTAGGTGCTGATGACAATATTGCATTTTACAGACAGAAATAATAAACTATCAAACAGAAAAAAAAGATGTTAACTTACAATAAATTTTCCAGCCACACGGTAACTGCTGATGTTTGATTTGTTTGTTTTTTACAGGTGTTATGAACACTTGATTGATTTTTTTTTTACAGGTGTCATAAACACTTGTATCACAGAAAATGAACAAACAAAACATCAAGTACCAACAGTGAAGTTAAATGAAAAGAAACAAGAATTGTTAATAGAAAATTTTTTGTATTGCCAACACAGTGGAGGTGAGCAGAATGTCTCTATGTGGGCAAGTGAAACAGCAACTTAAGTTAGGTCCTGGTGGTGGATCCTGAATTATCATTTTTTTTCATGTTTTTCTTTGGAGGCAACATTTGTGATTGGATCCTTTTATATTATATTTTAAGTTTTTTTGAAAGGATTTGTTTTATGAGCCGGATGCCATGCTTGGAACTCTTGCACAGAAAACAACTATTTTATTTTTGCTTTCTAAGTGTTCACATCAAACCAATATGTCAAGTGAATCAAAAGGGGATCTAAGTTAAAACAGAGTATAACAGCTCCTCCAGATTTCAATTTCAGTTATATGTAGCGAGTGGATAATGATCAGAAAGGATGTAATGATTTGTGTTTTTGTACTGTGATATCAAAAGTGTGTTGGGAATTGTCTACATGTTTGTCTTTTTTAAAACATTTTTTGGTTGTTGAGTTAACTGGAGTCATGTCCTCCAGATTTGAATTTCAGTTATATGTTTTTACCCAGAGTGGATATACACAGAAGGATCAATGCATATTAAGTTTATATATATATATATATATATATATATATATATAATATATTGGAATATATATATATATATATATATATATATATATATATATATGTATGGTTGGATAGATGTGAGTTTGTGACCATAGGTTTCACGCTTTAGCGATCGTCAGACAAACTGATTAATTTTTTTTTAAATTTGAGTTTATGTAGATTGCGTGTATTGGTGTTATTGTGGAAGTTGTGGGGAAAACTTCGTTGTTTATGACATCGTACTAACGCAAACATCGATGTATGCAGACACATATATATACTTGGTCGTCCGTCGGGACTCATACATATATAAACATATGTGGGCAGTTTCGGATATGACATATATGTATACAGGTGGTGTTGTGTCTATACATACGCATTTGTATGTTGAAATTTAAAGATTGGAAGTGTGGCGGAAATGTCTCGTGAATGTCTCGTGAATGTATACATGTCATATTATTTTTCCGCTGAATAATATTTCCTTTTTCACACCTTTTGTTCACGACTTGTAAGTGGGGTTTGTACCCAGCAGCTGACAGCATATTTTGGGGACAATTTTTTTTTTATTGCTGGCTGGATGACTTTGAGTCAGCCATATCAAAGACAAATTGGCTTCATTTGAACCCTCTCTTCTTCCTCATCATTGCTTTTATTGGCAAAAATTATTGAAATTATGCTATTGTTTTTTTACTTTTCCGAAAAATCACCACAGACCAAAAGTGCTTCCCCTCAGCTACACTGCTGGAGGAAATCAGAAATGTAGACGGAATCAGAAAAAGATCTAATTTGAAGCAGAGTATAACACAGCTAATCAACCCTTTATGGCTTTTTAAAAGCTGAAACATATTCTGGATTGCTGGAGGTTGCTTACAAATGTTTTTAAGCAATCTCCTAAGTACTGACCAGTCTTAACATTTCTTAACTTCAGTGACTGTACAAGAACCAGTTTTCAGTGTGATTTGACCATAAGTGGTAGATGCTGGTGATCATAATAAATTAGAGAGAAAATAATTCGCTATCATATAGAAAAATGTATTTTATTTTTACACCAAAGCTGAAATTGTATAAATTGTAAAAATAAAAAATAATGAATTGATATCATCAGAAGATTTTTTTTGTCTGCAAACTTTGTTGCTTTTGTGAAATTCCTATTTTAGAAAATGCAACATTTACCACTGAAGCTTTCTACTAACCTGTTGACCAGTTCCAAGCAGGGGAGTTATCACAGTTGTGTCTTGAGAATTAAAAATTGGCATGAACCCACGAAACATATCACCAATCTGCTCAACTGGTGTCATTTGGGTGGATCGTCTGAAAAAGAAAGCAGTTTTTTAAATAGTACAATGTGGAGATATATATATATATATATATATATATATATATGTAGTGAGAAAGCAAACACAGGTGTAACTTAACTAAAGCTTTGTTCAACTTAGAATGAAACATGTCCTATTTGACTTACTTAAATACTGAATATGTATAAAGGGAGATAATCCATACCACATTCTTCCCTGCTGATTATTTGTAGGGGACAAAGTTATTCCAGCAACTCAGTCTGTGGGTTCTTTGAGGACATCATGGTGGTTTGCAGTCAACAGCAATCTCTGACATTGACTCATCTGAGCTTGATATTCCAGGTTTTTCTTACCAATCTGGCTTTGAAGTATAAACTTCGACTTGAAGTGTTTATGTATTGTTCAATTTGTAAGTTCCTATGCATCTGAATTTGAAATAGTAGTATTTTTCTCAGAGTGGATTAGCTTTTTAGTTGCCAACTCCTCATCAGAACCAAAGTCCTGTTGGTCCATTTGTTCTATAAGCGATTCTGTCTGATTTCTCTTGGGGGGGGGGTACTCTTGCAGGGGCGAACTCTTTCAACGATACAGTATCATGTTTCCCATCCAAGATCTTGACAAACACGTAATTCAGGTTTGCATGTATTAATTTGACTTCATTCAATAATGGGTCATTTTCACTGTGTCAAACACCGCATTTCAGAAGGACTGTACCAGGTTGCAAGAGTCATTATGGGGAGTGAGATTCCTCGCTAAGTTCTACATTGGAATGGTAGAAACCTTTCATGTGGTGTTGTGTTCATTGCTGTATACAACAGGATTTGAATAGCATCCAGAGACTCTGGGAGGAGGTTTTCCCAATCAGCGATTGGACACATTCCATTCACGGCAGCCAACTGAATAATTTTCCAAATAATGCCATTGTATTTTTCACACTGGGGTTTATACAGCATAGACTTACTGCAACCCCTTGTACAAAGAGAAGTTGTTCAGACGAATGATGTTCCCCAGTCTGAATGGATATATGCTGGGGCTCCAAAAAGGGATGAACAACAAGTGCAGACATTTCATTACTGAGTTTGCGGATGTATCTGGACAAGGATATGCAAACGGGAACAATAAATCTTCATCGATTATAGTAAGCAGGTATCTGTTTCTGGTTTTCAGTTCCAGGGGATTCTAGGGGATCTTTGAAGCCGACATTTAACCTTTCAAGGGGTTGAGTGGCTTTTATAAGGACTCTTGGAGTTGGCCTATAAGATCATGGCTTGTGTTCAGTACAGATCTGACAGGATGTTGCAATCTTCTTGATCTCCTCAACAGAGTAAGGGAAATTTTGGCTTTGTACTATGTACGTCATTTTAGTTAAGCTTGTGTGGCATAGTTCATTATGTACAGTTCTGAGATCATTAGAACTTGGCATAGTGCTACTAACTCTCAATAATGCATCTACTGCAATATTTTCTTTGACAGGACAATATATAATATCAAGAAGGTACTGAAGTGTCATATATGACACAAACATAAAAACTGAATGAGGTTGTTAAGAGAGTACATCATATGTATGTATGTATGTATGTATGTATGTATGACGTGTGTATGTGTGATTTTATTTAGCCAATCCCTTTCAATTATGTCTTCTTTCTTGCCACTCATTTTCTTCTATTCTGATGACTTTAAAAATTCTGTTGATTATATATTTTCCATTTATAAACTTCCTGTTTTGTTTATATTTTCACTGATCTTTAAATAAAATTGACTGGGAAAACAAACATATTTTCCCTATTCCATGTTTGATTACCTTCTCAAAAGAGTTTTATAAACTTTTTTATTATTTTAATTGTCAGCTCTTTTGTTTCAGTCATGTTTTTCTTCCAGTTAGTCAAGTCATACATTTTGTTAAATCGTTTTTATTTTTAACTGCTGACTAATTTGCATTTTGAGATTTGTACTGTTATTTGTTTTAGAAATGCTTATCTAAACAATGAGTGATTCCAAAGTTTTTTCCGGACTTGATCTGCCCCCAAAATAGGCCATTTAATTTAAATAATTTAGTCAAATTCATTTGTGGCATATTTCTTAAAGACTGAATGTTCAGTTAATTAAAATGTGTATTTTTCTCATATCTGTGGATTATTTGTTGCAAAATAGAAAAGCTGAACTTCATTTAAATAGGGTGATTACACAATTAATGCCATAGATATTATACATGCATTCACACAAGTGGGAAAAAAAGGCAGACAGAAACAAGAGGGTAATAGTTCTTTTATATATATATATATATATATATATATATATATATATATATATATATTTTGTTTGAATAAAAACAGATCACTTTAAGGTTCCATGTAATAAATTATTTCACCACAGCCCTTTTAAAGGGCTCTGGATCATCAGACTTTACTTCCAAAGGTTGAAATGAAAAATGAAAAGAGATTTACACATTTTTGATGGCCCGTATTAAGCATATGTAAATTAACAAAGTGAGGAAGTGAGTGGGGGAGAGAAGACATGAGTGAGTTAGATGTACCATTTCAATTCTTTATCCCTAACCCCACTTGGTGTGGGCTAGACAAATGCTTCACTTGATTTATGTTATCGTTAGATATGGATGGGTAAATGGTGAAGAGGAAAGCCGACATAAAAGGAAGAAGATACTATAAAACCAATCCTGATGAGAGAACGTTTCACTTAATTTCTTGGACGCTGTTATTTCGCATTACTTTAAAGGGTATATTTGGGGGTTAAAGTTTGATATAAATCTAAATGTCTACAAAATCTACGAAGAATTTAATTTGATGTTTGTTGGAGTTTTGGGTATTTTCTATGAAACAGTCGATTGGAAAAAATTCATAGAAAGTACATTGAAAGACTAATTCATTTTACATCTAGTAATCTTTTTTATTTTCCTAAACTTTTTTCTTGTTGATTATTAAGTTGACATCTATCCGTTTGAGTTTTGTTCATAAATTAAACTCGTGACTGTTTTCAGGTACCTACATAATTATCAAAGGTTATTCCAATTTCAATAATTTTATCATCAATAATGATTATTAAAGGGTAATATATTTCAATTTAAATTAAATTATCAATTTAAAATTTACCTCTGTATTATTATTTGAATCCATTTCCAATTGGAGAATATTAGAGGAGAAATTTGGATAAAACATTACTAACAGAAAATTAGGTCCTTCTTTTATAATATTCTATATATCCATACATATACACACCTCTACACATATTCGAACACCTATCTATATCCACATACATACATATCCCTATATACTTATAAATCCATATATACACATATCAATATCAATACGTCATTACATTATGAATACACAGAATCCTATAATTATACATATATATATCTATACATATATATTACTCGCCATTCCATATCTGTGGCAAGATGTATAAGTACCCATCTAATTATACACATCCACACTCACATATACATAAAAAAGGAACCTGCATGCCTCTCTTTCCATATAAAAACATATACATGTACATATTAAAAGACATATCAGTTTTCAAGTACAATACCATAGTTATACACATACAGTCAAGTGTCCACGTTTATGCGTGCATAGCAACATTTCCAAAAGCAAAAAGAACAAAGGTCATTCAATATTATTTTTCCTATATGGTTATTTCTCAATGTATTTTCTTAGGTTTAGGTTGTTCTTATGTCGGCATTTAAAAATCTTCCTTGGGTCTACCCATACGGATTACCTAGTTCTGCATAAACTATATATATATATACAGGGTTGGTAGAAAGTTCTTAGCCCAACAAAGAAGCCCATCACACCAAAAAACTGATGTTTGATCCTTCAAATAATAAAAAAAGCTAATGGACTAAATTTAATATTTCCAATAAGCAAATACTTTGCTGTATTTCAAAACTAATTTAAATTGACTGGAAGGAGTTTTTGTTTTGAAATCACTAAACATCGCTCATTTTAGTGTCATTTTTAGCCATCTTTTATCACAATAACTCTTGTTATTAAAAAATATTTTGTAAATAAAATATATTTTTCTGAAACTTTATTTGACAAATATTAGCTTATTTAAAGTTTAATTAATCTGATTTGAAATAAGTTTGAAATATCACAGAAATTCATTTTTTAACATGGCGGTAGGTGTTTATTTAAGGTCTTAACAGGTTGACTGCTTTGAATATACGCTCTTTTAGCGCTAGAGGGCGTCGTCAGTGATGTTCTGAAATTGGATCATTGGGCAGTTTCGGGTCTTTCAAACATCATACTGACCTCACCAAGTCGATCCCATCAGAGCTGATCAGACTCTGATACACCCTCTAAAAAAATGCTTGTAGACACTGACTTCTATAAATGTGCCCCGTTATCACACATTTGATTGGAGGTTGACCAACAGCCAATCAGCTTGAATAACAGATCAAAGTTTATCTAATTATTTTTCTACAGTGGACATCGCTGTAAAAAAAAAACTATAATGAATAATTCTTATACATATGTTGTTGTCTTCTTTTGATAAATCAATAATCATTTTTTTCCTCTCTGTCCATTTCTCATACTTCTTCAAGTTTGTTATTATTAATTTTATGTTTTTAATTTTACAAATTAATTTGCTTCCTAAATTTGGTTGAAAACCGATTTTTTATATTTAAATCATCTGCTAGTATATTCTCCTATTAGTCCCTTAAAAGTGTCTTCATTATTCTTATCAGATAAAAGTAATTGTTTTTACCAATGATTGATCTCTGATGAAGGGTTGACTGAAAGGTTCCTTAGATATTTACCTTTTATACTATTAAGATACTTTCATTGGTGCTATTTAAGGCTTTAATAAAATTTTGTAGTATCAAGTCATTGTGCAAATACATTGGAAAAGTTTTTATGTGTAGTGTTATTTTTCCTTTTGGACTTCATCAAACTAAACTGATGTTTACATTGATGTGATTATGCATTCACATCGAGGAGAGATAATGCTAAAATTTTAAATTTAAATCTATTTTTTTTTTTTAAATATATGTTTTTGGCATATACTCAGTGTTTACTCGTTCCCCCACGAGCGAGAATGAGATGTAACACAAGGTCGGATAAATGTGGGGACCCGAGCGCATGCACCCAGGCAAGATCAAAAATTCCACTCAGCCCCGGCAACCGTGAAATCACCAATCTCTCCCTCTTGTGCAATGAGAGGGCACGGCCTCGGGCAGCTGTTCCCCAGGGCTGGGCACCTCTTCAGTATAATTTTCCTTAGTTGCCCCTCTTTCCTTTGACAGAGAAGCCCCTGAGCACACTCTGTCCATGGACAGAGACGCAACTGAGAGATGATTAGTCTGCATTAAAATCCCTCCAAAGAAAAAATTTATATATGGTCTAGTCAGCTTCATTTAGTTTCTTTTCATTTATATTTTTATTACTTTTGTTATTAAATATCCCACCTTGTGATCAGAGAAGTTCCTCTTAGAAGGGTGAAGTGTTAAACATAAATTTAATGTGGTTGATCTAGTGATTAAAGCACTTTTTATACATTTTGTCTTAGTAAATTGCTTTCTCTTTTAATTAGAGTAGTATTTTTTAAAATCAAAATTATAACCAGACAACTGAAAAACTAATGCCTTGAGTGTTTTATCAATATATATATATATATATATATTACAATTTTATATATATATATATATATATATATATATATATATATATATATATATATGTATACATATTTATCATATATATATATATATATATATATATATATATATACAGTTTGCTATATTTATAGAGGGAAGTTTGCCTAATATCAGATAAAGAGCATTTATAGGTATAGATAGTGTAGACATAGGAATCAACATTGATGATGACTGTCATTTCACACTTTTAATGGCAATCACCATACAGTTTTGATTCCTATATTCTAACTGTCTCTGTCTGCCTGTCTCTCACTATATATATATATATATATATATATATATATATATATATATATATATAGTTTATGCAAAACTGGGTAATCTGTATGGGTAGACGCAAGGAGGATGATACCCAGAGAGCTCAATGTAAATTCTCAATTCTTTATCCTTAAGCTCACTTGGTATGGGCCAGACATCGCTTAACAACGATGTTATCTCTAGATATAGATGGGTAAGGGGTGAAGAAGAAACCCACATAAAAGGAAAAAGATACAATAAAATAAATCATGAGGTTTCACTCAATTTCTTAGACGCTGTTATTTCGCATTACTTTAAAGAGTATATTTGGGGGTTAAAGTTTGATATAAATCTAAATGTCTACAAAATCTACGAAGAATTTAATTTGATATTTGTTGGAGTTTTGGGTGTTTTCTATGAAATAGTCGATTGGAAAAAATTCATAGAAAGTACATTGAAAGACTAATTCATTTTACATCTAGTAATCTTTTTTATTTTGATGGTTGTTGGAGTTTTTGGTTAAAAGGGCTGTGGTGAAATAATTTATTATATGGAACCTTAAAGTGGTATGTTTTTATTCAAATATATATATATATATATATATATATATATATATATATATATATATATGAATTGGCATCTGATAGAATGGTAAAATAAAGGAACAAATAGGAAACATTTATAAATTTAACATGTTTTGTTTTATTTAAGCTTCATCAGCAAAAACAAATTTTTTGATGAAGCTTAAGTAAAAAGTGAAACATGTTAAATTTATAAATGTTTCCTATTTGTTTCTTATCCTATCATATATATATATATATATATATATATATATATATATATATATATATATATATTTAGAAAAATATGACAAACTGGAAAGGTATTTTTGTGATGCATATATCATCCATTAGGATTTCATCAGACTGGGCTTGGTTGATGTTGTCATGTCTACACATGTACATGAAATGAGAAATGCAGGTGGTTTCAAAATTTTTTGAAAAGAATAGTTTTGAGAGAAAAACCCTTTTCCAGTTTGTCATATTTTTCTAAATACCGTTTGTTGATATATAAAATTACATATTGTTATATCATATATATATATATATATATATATATAGCCACAACAAACATCTCTGATAAATCCGATTTCATAATATTTAGCAACTTTAAAATGAAAGTGTTTTCACCTTCATCTAATCCATAAGTTCACTCTTTAGAAAAGATGAATAGAAAAATGAAATGCTCTTACTTTTCAAAACAGGCAAGTCGAGAGAAAGGGAGATCTTTTGGAAGAGGTTTTGATAACCAGCAAGAAAAGTATGTCCTCAGGTCCATATCTTTTTCCCTTGCCAGATTTTCCACTGATAGATGAAACTTTTCATATAGGCTTTTGATCAGGCTCCGGGTCGATATATTGTAGTTATCTGCAACAACAAAATTTTTTTTACACATATACAACTATATAAAACAGTTAGAGCATACCAAAAATGGGGTATTGTTGCCATATCTCTGAGCTGGAGCTGTCAAAACCTCAGCCTTGACAGTGTGGGAACCAAAACCATAAACAATATATATTTCGTTAGTTTGCACGACCATTATGTCTTGTCCTGCCTCATAAATAATGGACTATCTTGTTTTGATCATGTGAAAATAGAAGAAAAGATACTACTTGGTTTCAGTGAGAAAATGAATGCAGGAAAGAAGCTAAAACAGGAGAAATAGAAAATGTTGTTAATTGAAAATCTTTTCATTTGTACCCACTTCTTAATATAAATTCCAACATTCATATTTTTTATTGTTATTGCAATATTTTGTTAAAGTTATTAAGCTCAAATATTTAATGATGGGATAGAAGAATTTCTACAGATATTTTATTGTCATAAAACTCGCCATTCAATCATTGATTTAAGAATTAAAATTCATGAAAAAAATTCAAATAGGAAAATTGTGAAATTTTCACAGGTCTTTCTAGTAAAATATATGAAAACATATATTGCAAAAGTGAATTATCTCCCTTATAGTCATATTAGTTTATTAATATAATGTGTCTCAATGGCTGTTGTGATGCATCTAGTGTGGCAGTCTGTAGTGGTAGTGATTGTTGCTTCTTGCTTTCAGTTACCACTGCTGGCTAGCAGAAATGCAAAAAGGGGAGCTGAGTCTTCCCCTGCTAGTATATAGCCTCTCCATCAGCAAGCCCTATGTAGTGCCTCCTCGTGGTGACACATGGTAACTGTGCACCTTGGGGACTTGGGCTAAACCACAGGGGACAGGGGAGGAGTTAGCCCCCTTAACATGCAGCATACAGGCCCAGCGGTGTGTGGAAATGTCCCAGCTATGGGTTAAATAGTTCCACTGCCTTGTGGAAATCTTCGGGAGAAGGAAAGACCCAGGAATAAACCCTAGACAAACCCAGAGTGGAGCCTCTAAGGCAGATGGACGGCACTCTGTGCTACCTTCTGGCAACTCCTGCAGCCGTGCTGGTACCAAACTGTATTGATTTATCCTCTCCTTTGGATTCTGCTAACAAGGCCAAGACGGGGAACTAGACGTTCGGACAGCCCTAGTTCTCCATACATCCCACCCAGGCTCGTAGCACACTGGAGTGATTAGATGCAATATCAAGGAAGATACCTTGTATTTTATTTCATGTTGATGAAAGAAGGAATTTTCTTCAATTTAAACCACAAAAATGTGAGAGTAGCCAATTTGTCATTATCTGTCTTCTATTGTGATTTCTGCAGCAAATGGCTATCTTCTCTCTCTCTCTTTCTTTCCCTGGACCTTTTTCCAACCCTCCTTGCGCCACTTCCTCCATCCATGGATGCAATCTTTGTTTAACCCAAGCTTGACTGACCAGAATATATAACATTTCCATCTTTGCCCTTTCAGACCAAATTAAGTTTAATTTCTCTACCTTTGTCCTTTCAAGCCCAATTAACATAAAATTCACCATACTTGTCATTCAAATCTGATAAATTAGATTCTATATCTATGTCCTTTCAATCACAATTAACACTAATTTCTCCATATTTGTCCTTTCAAGCACAATTAAAATCAAATTCTCTATGTACTTTCAAGCCCAATGAACATTAAATTCTTCATAATTCTACTTTTGAGCCCAATTAACATTAAGTTCTCTATATCTTTATCCTTTCAAGCCCAATTATGATTATATATATATATATATATATATATATATATATATGAAGAAAAAATATATACGGAAAAAACAAACAAAAATCCTTATATACAATTATGTTGTTTTAATGTTAATATGTCAACGTCGGACGTTTCGGTTTAATAAACCATCTTCAGGACATATTCATAAATTATAACATTATCAATACAAATGATGACAAAGACGATGTACATAAGAACAAGACTTATCCAAACAAATAACTGAAAGTTTTATAAGATCAGCGCTCCGTTTAAAACATGGTCACATTGTCGTCCCGTGGGCAACACTGTGAAAAACGTATTCCTAAAATTTGAGTATTTTGAATGAAAAATGAAAAGAATTCTATTTTGATCTAAAATTTATATGTACAAAATAGAATTCTTTTCATTTTTCATTCAAAATACTCAAATTTTAGGAATATGTTTTCACATCGTCGCCCACATGACCATTCAAGCTTAATGAACATTGAATTCTTTATCTATCTCCTTTTAAAACCAATTAATATTAAATTCTCCTTCAATATCCTTTCAAGCCCAATGAATATTAACTTCTATATCTTTTACATTTCTGTCCCAATTGACATTAAACTCTATATCTATGTCCTTTTAGGCCCAATTAACATTAAATTCAATATTTTTGCTCTTTGATGCCCAATTAATATTAAATTCTATTTCAATGTCCTTTCAAACCCAACTATCATTAAATTCTCCATATTTTCTCTGTCAAGCCTAATTAACATTAAATTCTATGTCTTTGTCCTTTCAAACCAAATTAAAATTAAATTCTCCATGTTTGTCCTTTCAGGATCAAATAACATTCTCCTTCTTTCCTCTTTCAAACCCAGTGAACATTAATTTCTCCATCTTTATCATTTCAAGTTGAATTAACATTAAATTCTATATCTATGCCTTGTCAAGTCCAGTTAACATTAAATTCTATATCTATGCCTTGTCAAGTCCAGTTAACATTAAATTCTATATCTATGCCTTGTCAAGTCCAGTTAACATTAAATTCTATATCTATGCCTTGTCAAGTCCAGTTAACATTAAATTCTATATCTATGTCCTTTCAAGTCCAGTTAACAATATTTTCAAGCCGAATGAATGTTAAATTTGATATGTATGTTATTACAAACCCAATTACCATTAAACACCCCCATCTTTGTCCTTTCAAGCACAGCTGACATTAAATTCTATATGTAATGGGATTAGTTTAGCTAACAGGTAATTAGGATAAAGAGAGCTATAACTATAGCTCATGGGTGACTTTGTGTCAGTGTACATAGAATATCTATGGCGATATGTTTGATTATCATAACAAATATTTCAGGTTCTTCTGTGTTCAACAGAGCTCCATCAGAAGAACCTGAAAACATAAAGATTTGGATAAAATGCTTTGAGGTACATATGCTAGAATAAAGAAGTTACCAGATGACCAAACACCTGAATGACAGAAAGAAATCACAAATCTATTTTTGGTCACTGCAGGATGCAAAACCATTAGGCAGATTTTGTTAATGACTTACATGATTAATGATTTTGTTAATGTCTAAAAATAATTGTCAGACTTCATTAAATTCTATATATATGTCCTTTCAAACTCAGTTAAATTCTACATTTTTGTCCTTTCTAGCCCAGATAACATTAAATTCTACATTTTTGTCCTTTCTAGCCCAGATAACATTAAATTCTACATTTTTGTCTTTTCTAGCCCAGATAACATTAAATTCTACATTTTTGTCTTTTCTAGCCTAGATAACATTAAATTCTACATTTTTGTCTTTTCTAGCCTAGATAACATTAAATTCTACATTTTTGTCCTTTCTAGCCTAGATAACATTAAATTCTACATTTTTGTCTTTTCTAGCCCAGATAACATTATATTCTACATTTTTGTTTTTTCTAACCCAGATAACATTAAATTCTACATTTTTGTCCTTTCTAGCCCAGATAACATTAAATTCTACATTTTTGTCCTTTCTAGCCAGATAACATTAAATTCTACATCTGCTCACTAGTGACTTATCTGATGCTTTCGATTCCAACCTTATGTCAGAACTCATCAAAAATTCATGAATAAAATTTGCTTTTTTGATAAGTTACTCATGCCATTTTCTCTCACAGTTTCTGCCAAATAACCAATAATTTACTCAAAATTAAAGACTAATTTATTAAATAATTTCATGTAATAAACTTTTATCAATATAAACATTTGAGGAGTATTGTTAGTTATTGCTAAAATATTTATATATTAAGATGCATTTCTATTACTTAGCATGCCTTAGAGTCAGTTTTGAAATAACGCCTCCTGCAGTGTCAGATAATTATAAATCTAATGGGAGTAACCACTCAATTTACCACTCTTATTTATTTATTTATGTTAGGTAATGGTAACATTAGCTGTTTCCCTACAAGGAAATATTTGCCATTCATTGGTTGAGTAACCAGTGCTACTGTCGGTTAAAATTTTTTAAAATCTTTCACTTAAAACTATTTTTCAGGAAAATGGATTCCTCAAGTCCAGTAACTGTTATTGCTCTTTCCAGTATTGATGGGAGTTTCCTTTCCAACCTTTTATTGGAAGTCGTGTGGTTCATCAACATCTTGATTATGTCATTTTCTTTTTGAGTGACATGTGATATCCATTTTAGTTGTTGCTGTTGATAAAAGTTCTCAAGTGATGTGGTTTCTGTTATTTTGTACAGTATAGGAATTTAAAATAATCATTCAGAAAAATAAGACTAATTGTGCAAAGAATAAAAAGAAGACACTGACTGGCTAAAAAAAAGGACCAATCACTGGCCCTATACTGGTCACACACCACTGGCTATACTATATATGCACCAAATTCAAAGACCCATTCTTTTTTCCCCTGTTAATCAGATAGCAAGAAACAATGATGTTCCCTTATCACAAGTCTTCAGTTGTATCAAGTTACAGAGGAATGGGCCCAGCAAACACAAGAGAAATGACTACTACCTCAAGAAGCTACCCAGGGAATGAAGAAACTTCTCTTTCAACTATGAATATTAACAAAATAACTTGACACTTCCATCAAAGCTAAGTTCACAGATGCACATTATCTACAACCATTTCTTTTTTCCTTATTTCTCTTATCATATTTGTATATTAAATATGTTTAAATAGTACAGGTTGTTGCAATTTTCTCTCTTCAAGTCCTGTCGACTTGTTCATTTGCACACATGAGGACTTATTAATTACCCATGATTAACTTGGGTTTGTATTTATAAATGTAAAAGACAATAGGAAAACTGTAATAGTTGCCGACACATTTTGTCTAATGTGGACTTTTTCAAGGCAAAAACGAAATGAATTTATTAAACAAACTAACTAATAATAACAAAACTAATTGTCCTTAGCAACTGGAAGAATTTAGAGAACGCTATTTTCATACTGTTAACTGAAATTACGTCATTTACTGTCACATGTGGAGATATTGTCTTTATTGTTGTATTGACGGATTCAACAATTTTCTTTTGATTTCTTGATACTATTGTGTACATTTATTTGGGAGAGTAGTAATTCTGTTAAGAAAGGTGAAATAGGGAAAAAGCCTAGGCGTAGATTAATATTTGGGTAATATTCAATGGCGGCACTCTCAAGGATTTTCCTTCTGAGTGAGTTATTTTCTTTTTTTATCTTGGCATAACATTGTGGATATAATCACCACAAAAGTTCTTTGTTTGTGATACTGTAGCGACAATCCACAAGCTTTGAAGAAAAAGAATTGTACTGTCAAAATTTGAGCTGGAAAACCTTTAAAATGCATTTAAAATAATTTATATGTCTCATTTGCACTAAAACATTTTGTCTTATTTGAAAGATGGTTAAAACTATGAAAATAAAAAGCTAATCTATAAAAAAGAAAAGTAATTTTATGCATTTTAATAAGGTTTTAAGACAGTTTTAAAACATTCTTATATCCCACATTTTAATTGTATACTGATGACAAAAAATTTATGGCAATATAAAAACATCTTCAAAATCAAATATGTTAGATATTAATTTTAAAGAAAATTGGTGGAATTAAAGATCAAGCAGAATTTGGAAAAAATGTGACTTGCATGCTTAAAAATTAAAATATCACAGAAAATATCTTTGAACACAACAGGATATATCCCAAATGTCAACAAATTCATCACTTAAACAATACAAAATAATACCCACAACCCCCAAATTTACAAAAAAACAACCTCAAATTTAATTAAATATGAAAGGCCAACTCTGCCAAAATACTGAAACTGGTTTCACTTATCTGCCTATATTTTCCCAAGGACACATGGTGTTGATTGCAGTAATCCAGTGACTTGACCCAAAGATTCCTGAGTTCAATCCCTGGCCACAGCAGAAGTGAATAAAAACTTGGAGAGGTGAGTTACTAAAAGGGAGATAACTGAAACTGAGATATCCAGAAAAGGCATGGCATGTGGAACTAGAACAATCTGCCCCAGTGGACTAAATAAAGGTTTTGGTTTGAAATTCCAATGTATATCACCTGAAGAAGGCCCGAGCGTACAACAGCCGAAACGTAGTGAATATAACAATAAAGATGAGGACAACAATGTAAATGGTTTCACTTATGTTTAATAATTTTTAATCCTTTGCATTTATTTATTGTTTTCTTTTTTAAAACTATTTCTCATTTATTCTGTATTTATTTTTATTTTTTTTAATATTTGATGAATTATTTAACTTTAAAAAATCAGGTATTTTTATTTTAAGGAAATTAGAAAAAATAAAATGTTGTTAAAAGAATAATGAGGTTAAGAAACTATTTTATCAACGGTTAGCTAAAAGATAAATCATCCATTTGGATTTTCCTAATAGTTGCTTCTATTTACTTACTAGGAAACGCCGAAACAATGAGCAAATCCACTTTTTCATCCAGTGAAAGTTCAGTAATATCGCCAACCATCAGCTGAATTTCACAGGGGCCATGGGTTGTTGACAGATGAAGACTGTCAACCTTTCTCAAACTCATTATGGCTGTGAGGTTTTTGACGTCTTTAATTCCTAAAGAAAAAGGAAATAAAATCAAGTTTAATATAAACATTGATAATATTTGATTTTGTTCCATGTAACTACATACACAACATTATATAACTTCAATATAGACCAATGCATTTGAAAATCATATTTGAAAAGGTTTAAAATTATGGTTTTCATAAACTTTTAGCCATTACTGCCAGTTTCACAATAAACATGATCATTAAATGCCAGTTCTGATCAAGTTTATGATTAAACTGAAAGTGATACCAGAAAGTTTATCAAAATAAAATTTAAAATATTTTTAAAGACAATTTTAAAAACATCAGTCAATATCAAAGTTTAGTCAATATCAAAATTTGAAATTTCATAGAAAATATGTGTTCTCAGACAAGAATCAAACCTGTATCTATGAAATTTCTCAGACATTCAGGCTGACAAATGTAGTTAATAAAGTTTATTATAAACAGAGCATTTACTTAAATATTTGTATCTATAAAAATTAACATATAAACAGAAAATAAATTGAAATAATTGTTAGACTTACTCCATTTAATAATATATATATGCATGTGTGTGTGTGTTTGTGTAAATATAGTTAATACTGTTTATTATAAACAGAGCATTTACTTAAATATTTGTATCCATAAAAATAACATATAAATAGAAAATATATTAAAATAATTGTTGGACTTAGTCCTTTTCATAATACATATGTATGTAAGACTCGGTGACAGCTGGAAAGACAGTTGGCAAGCCGGAAAGACGGCTATTCGGAGTCTGCAGGGTTCGCACCCCTAATGACATGTCTCTTTGTTCTAAAGAGATCCCCGTTTCACGCTACAGGTAGAACAAGAAATACATACCCCCAGGGGATCCCGAGAGGGAGGGAGCATGAGATCCCCAGTAGGACGGATATAACGGTTACGACCACAGCAAACGCCCCAAGGACTTCTGACTCGATATGCCATTGTGGAAAGACGTGCAAGAACCAGCGTGGCCTAAAAATACACCAGGCCAAGATGAAATGTGCGGTAGTAGCTGAGAACTCACAATGCATAGGTGTTACACCAAGTAAGACGGAGGTGGAGCAGGTCCCGGTGACAAACCACAGCGCCCAGCACCACCCAGTGTGGACTCAGACCTTGCCGGACAGAGTAGTCTCTAAGCGGATTAAATGGCCCCCAGCAAACAACAAGAAAGCTTGGCGTGATTTTGATGAAGACCTATGCATTATAATCCAAGGTACGTCTGCAGGTAACATAGACCGATGACTTCAAACCATGAGTAAACTTATTGTCAGCTACGGATCAGAGCGTTTTGGCCACATTGATAAAACGAGAAGTAAAATCTCCACTCAGAATAGGCGTGAAGGAAGGATAAGAGAAGTAAGGCAGGAATTAAGATGCCTCAAGAAACAATTTAAGGCCGCTAGTGAAGAAGAGCGACCAGCCCTCTCAGAACTGAGAAATATTTTAAGACAGAAATTGAAAAACCTGCGAAGAGCAGAAGGACATCATCGCCATAGGAAAGAGCGGGCCAGGAAGAGGGCTTTGTTTATCTCCGACCCATTTGGTTTTCGCCAGAAGACTTCTGGGAGATAAGAGGAGGCAGATTAGCATGCCCAAAAGAAAGGGTGGACTCCTTTTGAAGAGCTCTTATAGGGACCCAAGAAGGGATGAGGAATTGGGATTTAATGATCGCCTCATTAAACCCAACCCCCAGAAGTTGAGTTCGATCTGAAGGTGCCAAGTTTGAGTGAGGTCAAACACATAGTAATGGCAGCGAGATCAGCTTCGTCACCAGGTCAGTGGCGTGCCTTACTCTGTGTACAAGCGTTGCCCTGGTCTTCTCATGAAATTATGGAAGATCATTAAAGTAATTTGGCAGCGAGGTAAAGTTGCAGAACAATGGCGATACGCAGAAGGTGTTTGGATCCCAAAAGAAGAGAACGCAGAAAATATCGAGCAATTTTGATGTATCTCGTTACTGAGTACAGAAAGCAAAATATTTTTTAGTGTTATTTCCCCAACGGCTATTAGCTTTTCTACTAAAAAATAGCTTTATAGATACATCGGTACAAAAAGGCAGAATCCCTGATATGCCTGGCTGCGTGGAGCATATAGGAGTTTTATGCATCTAATTAATAAAGGGATGCAAGGAAGAATAAAAGGAGACCTGGCTGTTGCGTGGTTGGACTTGGCCAATGCATATGGGTCCATACAGCATAAACTCGTGGAAGAAGCTTTAGTTAGACACTCACGTCCCAAGTAGAATCCATGAGCTTATCCAAGATTATTACAGACAATTCCATCTAAGAGTTGCATCCGGTTTGGTTTTTCAGATTGGCATAGACTTCGAGAGAGGAATCATTACAGGCTGTACATTGTCAGCCATGCTTTTTAACTCTCGCGATGAACATGCTCGTGAAGTCCGCTGAGGTGGAATGCCGTGGCCCCGTTTCAAATACCGGAGTTAGGCAACCACCCATCCGGGCTTACATGGATGATCTTACAGTCACCACGCATTCTGTTACAGGCTGTAGATGGCTATTACGGGGTTTAGAGACTGATTGAGTGGGTAGGATGAATTTCAAGCCAAACAAATGTCGATCAGTGGTAATAAAAAAAGGCCAGTGGTAAAACACTATTTCACGATAGAAGGGAGAGCCATCCTGACGTTGGCGATAAGCCTGTTAAAAGTCTAGGTAAATCCTTTTGTAATGCTCTGAAGGACACATCTATCGAAGCTATACATACTGATTTTGACTTGTGGCTGGCGAAAATAGATAAATCAGGATTGCCAGGGTGCTTCAAAAGCCTGGCTATACCATCACTGTGTGCTCCCAGGAGCATTATGGCCACTCCAGACATATAAGCGTTCCCATCTCGACTGTGGAGACTTTAGAGAAGAAGCTTGCAGTCTCCTCCGTAGATGGTTAGGATTACCTCGTTGCTTAAGCAGCGCAGCCTTATAGGGATCATCCAATGCCATCCAGCTGCCATTCAGAGGACTAGTTGAGGAGTTCATGGTGTCAACGGACAAGGAAAGCTATCATTATAGAAACTCCAGAGATCCCCAAAGTATCAGGTGCGGGAATAGAGATTAAGACTGGCAGAAAATGGAGTGCTACTAAGGAACTAGCTGTCGCAGAAGGGAATCTGAGGAAAAGCGGATGACAAAAATGGCAGGTTATAGCCAGCAGGGCGCGTGGACCAGGTGGGATGGTGTAGATCGGCGAAAAGTGTCGTGGTCAGATCTTTGGAATACCGACTTCAGCCGATCTAGATTCCTGGTTCAGATGGTGTACGACGTATTACCAAGCGCGACCAACCTACACCTATGGGGAAAAATAGATTCACCAAAGTGCCCTTTGTGTTCGGGGACGGGATCACTGCAACATATATTAAGCGGATGCAGAACAGCTCTGACAGACGGGCGCTATCGGTGGCGTCATGACAAGGTTTTAGAGGCGATAGCACTCATCATTACTGAAGCACTACAGAGTAATAAACTCATCCCAGAACGAAGAGCTATCCGCTTCATTAGAGCAGGTGCAAAAAGCCGAGTAAGAAGGTTGCAGGATCCCAGTCACTGTTATTGTCTGCGTCGGATTGGCAAATGCGAGTCGATCTCGGGAAACAATTAAAATTTCCAACACATATATCGTCCACCAAACTCCGTCCAGACATAATCGTTTATTCGGACGCCACAAAACAGATTATTTTGCTGGAATTAACTGTCCCATGGGAGGAGCATATGCAAGAAGCATTTGAGAGAAAATATAGTAAATATGAAGGACTCTTAAATGACTGCAGAACTAAAGGATGGCACACTCATTGTTTCCCTGTCGAGATCGGCTGTAGGGGGTTCGCCGGACAGTCAATGATACAAGCTCTTACTAGCCTAGGGATAACGGGACAAAAAAGAAGGCGGACGATTCAAATGATCCTGGAGTCCGTCGAAAAGGCAACTAGGTGGTTGTGGATAAATAGAGCTAATCGTGGGCCCAAAACTACAAAATAAGAATGTTCCCAATGCAGATGTACACACGCCATAAATGCCATCACTAAATACTTTTAAGACTGATTAGTATATGTGAAATTAGTGTATATAGATGACGAGAAACTTGCGAGAATCAATCTTTCGATGTGCATCCAGTCTCGTATGCAATGACTTCTTACTGGTCTTTCGAGTAGATTCATTTTATTACAAAAACATTCTTACAAGTAATTTTTCCCTTTTTTTCCCTTTTTTTTTTTTTAAACGGAATTTTAATTTTTTCGGTTTCCTTCATGGATAATTTGTTTTTTTTTTTTTTTTTGTAGGAGTAACTTATCTTAGCTAAATTTACACGCTATATTTTCTTCCAACTATTTTTCGACATGTAAATATCTCGATTATTTATTTTGAGTAATTTTAGCTATTTTCTTAGTTTTTAAACGAATTCTTTCCAGTAAGGATAATTTTTCTGGGGGGGGGGTTAAATTATTTAAAATTTACACGTGTTTTTTTTTAACCAACATTTAACATGTAAATAGTTTGATTAATTTATTTTTAAGCGATTTTAGTCAAATGTTTTTCTCTTAGTTTTTTAAAGTTGTAAATAGTCTGTCTTTTGTAAACGTTTTATTAAGTGTATTTTAGGGAAGAAAATAATAATAAAAAGTAAAAAGAAAAGAAAGACCAAACAAATAAGGTAGTTAAAAGGGGAGGTAGAGAAAGGACAAGTCGCAAGGCGAGCCAATATAATAAATCGTTTGTTTTTTTTTTATTTTTTTTTTTTTTTTTGTTTTATATATATATATATATATATATATATATATATATATATATATATATGTATACATATATATATGTATATATATATATATATATATATATATATATATATTTGTGTGTGTGTGGGTGGGTATGTGTGTATATGTG